TGAGACCGTGAGAGCCCGCCCCGGCTCCCACAGGCTCTGAAGGCGGGGCTCCGGCTGAGGGGCGGAGTGCGTCTGGGCTTGTCGAAAGCCCGAGACCGTGCTAGCCCGCCCCGCTCCCCTCCGGCTTGGAAGGAGGGGCTCCAGCTGAGGGGCGGAGTCCGGGCTCGTAGACAGCCTGAGACCGTGAGAGCCCGCCCCGCCCCCCTCTGGCTCGGAAAGCGGGGCTCCAGCTGAGGGGCGGAGTCCGGGCTCTTCGAAAGCCTGAGACCGTGCGAGCCTGTCTTGCCCCACCGGCCGGAAGGCGGCACTCCACTAGGGGCGGGGCGGGGCTTTCCCGGGGGTGGGACTCTGGTCTCCGTGGCCGGTGGCGGGTGGCGGGTGTCTACTCTTTCCGTTAGGTTTGCTGAAGCGATGGCGGCGCGCGTGTTGAGGCTGCTGACTACTCTGCTGGCTGCCGCCCTCGCCGCCTCCATGGCCGAGGTCGGGTCCGAGGCGGGATGGGACTTAGAGGCTCCTGACCTGCTCTTTGCCGCGGGGACCGCGGCCTATGCGCGCGCGGACTGGGCCGGGGTGGTACTCAACATGGAGCGGGCGCTGCGCTCGCGGGCAGCCCTGCGCGCCCTCCGCCTGCGCTGCCGCACCCAGTGTGCCACCGACCTCCCGTGGGAGCCGGACCCGCACTCGTCCCCCAGCCCGGGCGAGGCCTCGAGCGTCACCGCCCTGCACGACCTGCGCTTCTTCGGGGGCCTGCTGCGCCGGGCCGCCTGTCTGCGTCGCTGCCTCGGGCCGCCGGGCGCCCACTCGCTCAGCGAGGAGCTGGAGTTCGAGTTCCGTAAGCGGAGCCCCTACAACTACCTGCAGGTCGCCTACTTCAAGGTGCAGCCCTGTCCCGGCGGGATCTGTCTGGGGAGAAGCGTGGTTGCTGGTTATTTAGGGGCGCTTAGGGGCCCAGGGAAGTGTCTGCCAAGAGGGAAGGTGGCCTCTTGGCCGGGGGCCATCTTCTGACTTCTTTTCTCCCTAGACACAGGGAAAGTGGGACCTTGCCTCCCGGTGTTCGCAGGGGCAGATGCTAACCCCAAAGATTCTGCCTGGGGTTCAGGCACGGGCGGTGCAAAAGTTGGCCTTTTGTTCCCGGGGAGGCCTCCCACAGGGAATTCAGCTTGGGGCTCCTTCTGAATGCCTTGTGTCTTAATGGTGAAGCCAGGACCTTTCTCCAGTATCTTCCTTCCAGTTCGTTGTTCCACGAGGCTTTTCCTACTGCCTGAGCCTGGCAGCTCTCATTCCAGGACGGGAGTTTGCCACGTCGCCAGCAGGGGTTGCCTGGCCCCTCCCTGTGGGCGACCCTCTGGCTGGTCTGTCAGGTTTCCAAAGGAAATGAGTATGTTTAGGAATGCCTGGGTGAGTTGACATGTACCCACGGACCTGAGCTCTCCTGCCTGCCCGCGTGAGGATGACGACGTGATGAGGATGGTGAGAGGTGCCTGTCGCTGTGCGATGTCCCAGCCTCCTAAACCCACAGGGGCAGTTCTACTTCTGTCCCACAAGGTCTCTCCCTGGTGGAATTGACTTGACCGACCGTGAGTTTGATTTTTGGATCTTTGGTCATGCATTGAACAGAGCTTTTCTAAATTGGCAAACATTTCTTGAAAACCTTCTACATCTTTGTTCTTGTACAATCCCCCCCCACACACAAAAAAATCTCCTTGCCCTGTCGTTGATTCAGACTCATAATGACCCTATGGGATACAGTCGTACTGCCCCTGTGGGTTTATGCAGCTGTAAATCTTTTTTTTTAATTGGACTTATTTTTTTAAATCATTTTATTAGGGGCTCATACAACTCTTATCACAATCCATACACACATCAATTGTGTAAAGCACATTTGTACATTCATTGCCCTCATCATTCTTAAAACATTTGCTCTCCACTTAAGGCCCTGACATCAGCTCATTTTTCTCCTCTCCCCGCTCCCCCCTTCCTTATTAACCCCAGATAGTTTATAAATTATTATTTTTTCATATGTTGCACTGTCCGACATCTCCCTTCACACACTTTTCTGTTGCCTGTCTCCCAGAGAGGAGGTTATATGAAGATCCTTGTAATCAGTTCCCCCTTCTACCCCACGCTCCCTCCACCTTCCCGGTATCGCTACTATCACCACTGGTCCTGAAGGGATCATCTGTCCTGGATTCCCTGTGTTTCCAGTTCCTATCTGAACCAGTGTACATCCTCTGGTCTAGTCAGATTTGTAAGATAGAATTGGGATCATGAAAGTGGCGGGGGAAGCATTTAGGAACTAGAGGAAAGTTGTATGTTTCATCGTTGCTACACTGCACCCTGACTGGCTCATCTCCTCCCTGCGACCCTTCTGTAAGGGGATGTACAGTTGCCTACAGATGGGCTTTGGGTCTCCACCCCGTACTCCCCCTCATTCACAATGATATGATTTTTTTGTTCTGATGATGCCTGATACCTGATCACACAGGCTGGTGTGCTTCTTCCATGTGGGCTTTGTTGCTTCTGCAGCTGTAAATCTTTACGGGAGCAGAAAATTTCATTTTTCCTGGGGAGGAACTGGTTGGTTTGAACTGCTGACCTTGCAGTTAGCAAGACATAGTATCAAGTGTCCTTCGAAAAGGACATCATGTTTGATAAAGCACGGGGCAGCGAGAAAGAGGAAGCCCTCAGTGAAGTGGACTCAACCGTGGCTGCAACAGTGGCTCAAAACAACAATTGTGAGGCTGACCCAGGGCCGGACAGGGCTTTGTTCTATTGTGCACCAGGGGCCTCTGGAAGGGAGTTGACAGCAACATGGCCCCAGGGCTCCTTAGTTTTTGACTGAGATAGGAAAATAGGTGTCTTTGGTACCTTGTTTTGCCTTGCTGTTAAAAAACCCCGGTAGTAAAGAAACTAAAAGCGAATGTTCACAGGACTATGAGGGCCAGGAAGGGGAGACCTTGAGAGATGAGAGAGACTTGAAAGTAGAGGTGACTATTGAAACTCAACAATTGAAGCTCATCCTACATATTACAAGGAAGAGAAAAAGGAGAGAAGGCTGGCCCTTCTAGATCAAGGGAAAAGTAGAATCGAAGTAGGAGGTATTCAGGAAATCAGTCCTTTTTGTTGGGTCTATGGTCTCAGGTGTATGTAGGGAGTTGCAGGACAATAGTCAAGAAAAGTAAGTGAGATTTTACCACTTTACTCTGTTTCTGTTTTGTATTGTTTCTGTTGGGTTTTCCAGTTTGTGAAGCACAGGAGTAGATGCACAGAGATAATAACTGAAGCAAGGGTTTATCTGGGAGATAGGGGTGGGGAGTGAGAGAGACGGGGGAGGGAGCTGGGGGACCAAACCATGTATGTGGTAGGGGGGAGGGACCACTAGAACTGATTGTGATTACACAACCTATTTTAAAAGCGATTTAACCAGGAAAAGAAAATGTTCTGAAATTCATTGGGGTAATGATTGTATAATTCTTCTTGATAAGATTGAGCTATTAAATTGTATGATGTGTGGAATATGTGCCAATAAAACTGTAGAAAAAGAAAAAGAAGTGGGGCCAGATTGGGAGGCGTCCGCAGGCTCCAAGGAATGGCAATCGGAATTGGGGTTTAGCTTGTTCATCCTGGAAGCCATGCGGGAAAGACCTGGCAGAAAAGCAAGTGGCAGCACAGCAACAGTCCCCATGAGAGAAGGACTTGAGGTGATCGGGCTGAGACAGGGCTGGGCGGGCAGAGGGGTGAGTAGATGAGACAATGCTGATAGATAAGGGACCGAGAATACAGCCTGGAAAGGGATCCCTGTCCTGATAGAATGCCAGGGCTGGATCAGACGTGGGTGGAACTCTAATTCATACCTAAAGAAACAGTGACTGAGATGGGAATCCCCACCCACCTCCCCATATCCCCCATAGACAATACAATTACAGGGGGTTATTAGGGAAGTTAATGGAGTGCACAAATCAAGCTCTGTAAACAGTGAGGAGACCGTCACTGAGTCACAGCAGCACGCCATTCCAGCCAAGCCTTTCTCTGCTTCTCAGCCACATCGCCCCTCTGCCCCGGCCTCCATGGACCAGGGAGAGGAAAAATGATTTAGCTTCAGTCACCTAGTTATTTAAGGTCCGAGCCATGACTGGCAGCTTGTTTAGTGTGTATTTATTAGATACTAATAAGATCATAAGAAAAGGAACTATAATAATACCAGCTGACATTTATTGAGTCTCTAATATAGGTTCAGCATTATGTACCAAGATACACACACGTAAATCGAAAAGCATTGCAGTACAATCATAGAACCCTGTATTGAACAAACCTGTCAAATTGGAGCTAGTGGTTCTCACACAGCCTCTATGGAGGGAAGGCATTGCTTCCAGCGTGCCCATCCTCAAAGAGTTCTGGCCTAGTTTATTGGCACCACATTGAACTGGCAGTGTGGGTGTCCTCACGGGACTCAACGTGTGTGTCTTGGGAATGAATGTCTTGGACTATTACCAAACCATGTCTGGGGTCAAGGAGGGCGACTTCAAGGACCTTGGGGAACAAAAGGATGTCTAAAGGGGCCAGATCAGGACTGTAGAGTGGATGGAGCAAGGCTTCCCAATGAAATTCTGTGGGGGGGTTTTCTGGCTGAGAATTTTTTGGGTGGGGAGGGTGTAGGAAAATGCTATTATCTTTATTTTTTAATTTTTAATCATTTTATTGGACGCTAATACAGATATTATCACATTTCATTGTTCAGTCACATCAAGCCGTGTTGTACAATTGCCACCACATTCAGTTTCGAGACATTTCCTTCTTGAACTCCTTGATGTCAGTTCCCTTTCACCCCTCCTCGTCCACCCTACCCCCCAGGAACACTTATTATTTTTCTTTCCCCTATAATTGTTTGTTTTTGCCATATCTTACATAATCCAAGATATCCATTCACATGCAATTCTGTTGTTGGATCCCATTAGAGTTAGGAATACTATGGGCTCTTTATCCTCCCCCACCCCACCCCCAATGAAATTCTTGTCGCAAGGAAGCAGTTACCTTACGACCCTCAAAGAATGAGCAAGGGCATGGTCACCATGGGGAAGATCCCCTGGGTCAACTTTCCTGGCCTTTTTCTCATCCGTGCAGTTTTCAGGTCTCTTAAAGCTTCTTCCGAATAAGCCCCTATGATCATCCTGTGTCCGAGAAAATCTGTCACGGTGACCCTTTGGCGTCCTAAAAAAGAGTGACCGTAACCTTCTGAAATGACCTCTCTGTCTTGAATTGACCTGGCCCAGCAGGTCCCCTCGGAAACCACTGTTCTGATTGGGCCTTTTCTTGAAGCACCCTAATGCCCCCGAGACAAGAGTATCACGGGAGATCCCAGCTGCAGCCACCTGCTGCTCTCAGAGGCAGCTTTCAGCACGTTTGCTTCAGACTAAACCGGTGCATATACATTTGGACCCCTAGGAGCAATACTCTGACCACCGGCCCACATATATTTTCTTTTACCTTCCCAACAATCCTATCAGGTAGATAGTGCTGTCTGCACGTGACAGATAAGGGAACTGAGTTTAAAGATAAACTTTAACATCTTGTCTAAAGCCCCCAGTAAATACATAATAAAACCTAGATTCCCCACCACCACTCCCACCGCCTGTCTGACACCAAAGCACTAGACAGGCGATCTGTTTGGGGTTCCATCTATGAACCCATGATACTTACTTTGCTAAGTGGGCGTTACTGTACCCCATCACCAATTGTCGTCTCTCAGTCTGCAGACACTTGTTTTCTCCTAATAAGAGCAGAAGATGCCATCTGCATTGTAGAGAGGACTTCAGGAATGTTTTAGCTGCGCATCTGTTGACCGAATGCGTCCACAACACTTGGCTTTCTTCCATGTAAAAACAGGAGGAGGTTGGAATATTCTTATGGACAGTTTAATGGTTACCGTCCTTTCTCTTCCACCCCTACATTTTGAAGCTTTAGGCCTTTCTTCAGCTCAGTCACTACATCTGAGTCTTGAAACATATTGTTTGGCAGTCAGTCTTCCATCATACACCCCACAATACGACCTTTGTTTATAAAATGGGAGGTTTTGCTGTTGACGCCCTTGTCATTTGGGAAGTCCCCGAGCCGGACCAGGAAAACAGCGGCAAATCTGCACAGGCCGCCGTATTTCTGGTTTCAGGTCTGTAGCCCGAAGTGTTTTCTGAAGCAGGCAGGGAGGGCCAAGGTGCTCTCCCTCGGGGGAGGCCCAGGAAAGCTCAGGGATTTCCTGTTTAGTGGGACTTGCAGCAGCTGGACCCCACCACCAAGTCTTCTGTTTGGCTGTCTCCCCAGCGAACCGAACCGCGAGCGCCCGTGAGAATGACCATGCTGTGTTTCCATCCTAGATAAACAAGCTGGAGAAAGCCGTCGCGGCCGCTCACACCTTCTTTGTGGGCAACCCGGAGCACATGGAGATGCGCCAGAACCTGGAGTATTACCAAACCATGTCTGGGGTCAAGGAGGGCGACTTCAAGGACCTTGAGGCCAGACCCCATATGGTGAAAAGTCTCTTTTCTTTCAACACGACATTGATTGGGGTTGTTTTCCGGTGACAGAAGAAACACGTGGTCCTTGCACAGCAGTGAAAATGCAGATAAGACCAAGTCATCACTTGTATTACTGTCATCGTGAAGAAACCCGAGTGGATATTTTCTCTCTCTCTCTCTCTCTCTCTCTCACACACACACACACACACACACACACACACACACACACGTGCGCCCGCGCTTTTTTTTAATGCGTCCATATTTTTGGATCTCTATCCGAACTTGATGTCTTTTTGCCAATACCTTTCCCGCCTTTTCCATCTTTTTTTTTTTTTGGCAAATAAAAAGGGACTTCAAAAAGTTCGTGGAAAGATGCAGTTGAAAGATAACGGCATTTTCTCACAAATCTTTTGAAGTCTTCTCATGTATAGAACAAAGCACCCGCCACATTCCCCGTCTGTACAGCTCAGTGAGGTTAATTGTGCTTATCATGTAATTCAACCAGCACCATTCCAGCTTCCAAATGGTTCCACCACTGCCCCCAACAAAGCTCACTGTGCCCTACGTCTGTGCTGTGTTGACCTGGCATTATGCCCCGCACCTTTCTTCCCGTTTCCAATCTCCTCTGAAACATGGTGTTTAACGAGTGCCTTCGCGTGTCATCACAGCTTAACCACTCATGGTTTTTTGTCCACGTGAGCTCTCGTTGGAACAAGTGGGACAGCGTCCCTCAGTGTTCCTTTACTGTTTGTTTAACCGAAGCCTGTGGTCTCTGCGGCATTGTTTAAAACATAGTCTTTTTATAGAGAGTGACATTCTTCCAACGTTTAAGTTTAGAAAGAAGGATATTAGAAACAGTGTCAAAATGCCTTGCAAGGCAAGTGAATGTCTAATACATTCCAGGATTGAACAGATTGTACACAGAGGCTGTGATACGGTGGCCCCGTGGGCTGGCTGTTAGCCTGGTTAAAGCAAAGCCAGCCGATCAAACCCACCAGCCGCTCCACAGGAAAAAGATGAGGCTTTTATCTCAGAAGCCCAGTGTTTGTTTGTTTGTTTGTTTGTTTCTGAATCATAATCAGCTCAATGGCAGTAGGGTTTTTTTGTGGGGTGACAAGTGAAAATGGTCCCTGAGCCTGAAAATGAGAGCTGTCGCACAGACATCAGCCTCAGAGCCCACATCACCCCTTGTTACTAGAAAGATTGCCAGCTTCTGCAAGCCACATTCCAGTGCTTTAAGAGACTGAGAGGCTTGTTGATTTATTAGTATTATGAGGAAACTTTTATTTTGAAAGCTCTTAGCCCTACTGTAACATAAGATGATTGCAATCTCCCACCTTCTAGATCAAGAGTTAAATGTTTTTGTTTGTTTTGCTTCTAAGGCAACACATAAAGACTATTTCCACGTGGCCTCTGGTGTGGCACAGCCACCCTGGCTACAGCCCACAGCAGGCCAAGTGGGAACTGGAGAGTCTCGGTGGCCAGCTCGGCACGGGCAAGGGTGCCGGGGCCTGTGTCTGAGTGTTCCTTTCTCCCAGTAGCAGGAGTTTCGACTGGGCGTGCGACTCTATTCCGAGGAGCGACCGCAGGAAGCCGTGCTCCACCTCGAGGCCGCACTGCAGGAGTACTTCACTGCGGACGAGGAGTGCCGTGCACTCTGCGAGGGACCCTATGACTATGATGGCTACAACTACCTCGAGTACAATGCTGACCTCTTCCAAGCCATCGCAGGTACGCGCCCAGCCTAAGCCACAGGCCACCCGAGGGCTCTGAGGTCAATGTCATGGCCATGCAGACACAGCGTTCGTCTTCGGCCTCATTCCTACGGTGCTGAAACCTGGGCACCTGACTGAAAATGGCTGTTGGTTCTGTGCGCCCATCATAGTCACACTTGGACTCCCCAAAGCCAATGTGCTCACCACCACCCCACCACCCCCACTTGATGCCTTTCAGATCACTACCTCCAGGTCCTCAGCTGTAAGCAGAACTGCGTCACCGAGCTTGCCACCCACCCGAGTCGAGAGAAGCCCTTTGAAGACTTCCTGCCGTCCCACTATAATTACCTGCAGTTTGCCTACTATAACAGTAAGGCCGTCTTTCCTCTTTCTCTGCTGCCTTCGACTCCAGTGCTAAAAGCAGGGGAGGCAGGGATCACGGCCGCTGTATGTCCTCAACACATCTGGCTTCTTTTGGTGGCTGTGGGAGGCTCTAGGCTACACAATCCCTGGGTACTTTGTTCTTGTACAAGCCACTGGCCTGCACCAGCAGTGAAACCTGGAGAAGGGAGATCCTGGGGGCCTCTCTCTCTTACCTGATCTGTAGCCTTCATATTAAATGCATCTGAAGGGAAAGTAATAGCAGAGATAGGTAAGGCTGTCAGACTTGCTCACAGGATACAGCACTCCTGAGACCCTTTGGGTGTCCTTCCAAGACCAAATCAGCAGGTCTTCATGGAGTCCCTGTTAAACACTCAGCATTCCAGCACATTCCAGAGGACAAGGCCCCTCTCTGTCAGTTCGAGTCCTCGTGGCACAGTGGGCTGCTAGCCGAAAGGTCAGCAGTTTGAGCCCACCCAACACCATAAAAGAAAAGGCTCATTGGTCTGCTCCCATGAAGACAGCAGACTGGAAAACCCTTTAGAGCAGTTCCGCTGTGTCCCATGGGATCACTGTCAGTCAGAATCAAATCAATGGCTTACAATGACATCAAGTTGAGATGACCTAACACAGGTGACCAAGAACCACTCCTCCCAATCTGCTCTTGTAGTATTTCCCCTCTGCAGATAAGAACAAGAAGGGAGGGAGGCAAGGGGGATGTTCCATAAGTTGATCCAATGGCTGGGATGCCAGAATTTTTGAAGATCTGGGTAGGTGTTACCCTACCCCCCCACCCCCCAAAAAAGACCAAACCCACTGCCACTGAGTGAATTCTGGGCAGAGTCCCTAAAGGACAGAGCAGAATGGCTCCCGGGATCTCCGATAGTGTAAATCCTTCCAGGGTCAGCTGGGGGGTTCAAACTGCTGCTGTGATCAGCAGCACAACTTATAGCCCCCCTCATACCACCAGGGCTCTTCTGTGAGCATACAAGAGGTCCTAATTCTCTTCCTTTTCAATATTAGGCAACCCCGTGGTCATCAGATACTAAATTAGGCAGGGACGTTACATAACAGGGCCACCTTTGTCATGCCGTTGCCTTCAAGTGTTGCTGAGACCAAGTGGTGCCTGGTCCACAGGCTGTGGCTCCTTCTTCTAAGCCGTTCTTCCTCCTCTTTGCAGTCGGGAATTACACACAGGCTATTGAATGTGCCCAGACCTATCTCCTCTTCTTCCCCCACGACGAGGTGATGAAGCAGAATCTGGCCTACTACGTAGCTATGCTTGGAGAGGAACAAGCCGCATCCATTGGTCCCCGTAAGGTGAGAGACCTGTGTTAGACTGGGAGGTTGGGGAGGGACGAGAGAGAGGTGGGAGAAGGGAGCCCGTGCTGCTTACACAGGGTGGCAGGCTGTGGGGAGATGGAGGGAAGCCTTAGCTAGCACTATGAACCTGGAAGTACATTCTCTGCTGGCATGTTCTTGTCCCTCTTTGGCACCTGATACCACAAGGCTAAGAGTTGTCATTTCTTAGAAGTTTGTATTCCATGACGGCGACTGCCCTTGTCTTTTCTCTCCTGTCATTCAGCATTGGTTCCCATCTCACCCAAAGCTAGAGAAAATCTATACACAACAAGACTGGGATGCAAGGGGTTGTTTCTGGGAAACGCCTGCACGTTGCTTGGTTAGAGTTTGTAACTCGTTGTGCAGTGAATGGGTCTGGTTTCTCTAATGGGAAGCTTTCTGTTTGGGACTTGCTGAGGTTTGACACCCTTGCCTTTTCCAGACTTTTCACCCTCTCCTTGGAGACCAGAGCAATGTGGGGATTTGAAGCCACTGGTCTGGGTCCTGGGCTGGCTCTCTCACGCACTGGCAGCATCAACTTCAGCACGCGGTGCGTGATCTAGGCCCACTGCAGCCCCTCTGAGCCTCCGTTTCCCCTTCTCCACAGTGGGCTAAGGATTCTCGCTGTGTTCAGCACATGATTGGTGCCAGGGTCAAATGAGCGAGTGATTATAGACCAGCCCGGCACTGTGCCAGTGTCCCCATGGACGTGTAGCAGAGCTTCCTGATGGGCCACAAGGAGGAGACAGCCAGTGTCTCCCTCCCTGTGTGGACCCTGCTCACCTGTGTCCTGCTGGCCTTGCCCAAACCCATCAACACTCTGTAGAGTGGACCTTTGCACTCATTTTTAACTTTGTCAGAAAAAAAGCAACAAGTAGCTACAATCACACCAGAGACCATTCACTTGTTTCTCTAACACATACATTGTAGAAACAGAGAGAGTGAAGCCGGGCACACTTGTGCATTTTGGGTAGGGCTGTTGGTGTAACCCAGCCATCCCAGTGCAAAGCTTCATCCCACCGCTGGACAGGTGCAAGCATGCAAAAGTAAACCCACAGGATGTCCACTGCACACTGATGCAAAAGGCAAACAAACAAACAAACTCTGGAAAGAGCTCAGTGCTGTTCATGTAGGGACTGCTTGCAGAAAGTGTAGTACATTGATTCCTGGCAAGCAGACAACTATGAAATTGTATGAGCTCACCGCAAAGTCACCAGTTCAAAACCACTAGCCACTCTGCAGGAGGAACACGAGGCTTTCTATTCCAGTAAAGAGTTACAGTCTGGGGAACCCACAGGGGCAGTTCTACCCTGTCCTGTCGGGTTGCTCTGCGTCAGAATTGACTCGATGGCAGTGAGTTTGGTTTGATTTTGTGTTTAGAAGACTGTTAGGGCTTATAAGTCAGGAGTGAAGAGGGGGAGTCAAACTTCTCTAGTTATGTCTCCTACCTACCTGTCAGTTTGTCATCTGGGGGGCGGAGGGGGTGGTTTCCTGAGTTTCTGTGATGCTGGAAGTGATGCCACTAGTTTTTCAAACACCTGTAGGGTCAACCATAGTGGACAGCTTTCAGTAGGGTTTTCAGACTCAGAGATGAGGAAGAAAGGTTCGGTGATTGACTTCCCAGAGGAGCTAATGAAAGCTATGGGTCACAACAGAACACGGTCTGATGTAGTGCCAGAGGATAGGTCCCCCAGGTGGAGGGCATGCCAGATACACAGTGGCCACAGTGGGTGGACTCAAGCACACCCGTGACCTTGAAGATGGTGCAGGACCAAGCTGTGGGTTGTTCCGTTGGACACGGGGTCACTGTGCATTGGGGCCAACTCGACAGCAGCTCAACCAGCAGGCACAACACTGACGCCTATCTGTACTCTGTGAAACAGCCCTGGTGGCACTGGTGGGTAACCATTGGGCTGCTAACTGCAAGGTGGACAGTTCAAACCCTCCCACCTCTCTGCAGGGGAGAAATGAGGGTGTCTGCTCCTGTAAAGAGTTACAGCTTGGGAACCCTCTATGGGGTCATTATGAGTTGACTCCAATTTATGGCAGTGGGTTGTTTGGAATAGTTCAAGTAAGCCTTGGATTGCTTACTGCAAGATGAGCGGTTCAAACCCACCAGCTGCTCCACAGGAGAAAGATGCAGCTATCTGCTCCCAGAGCAATTGACAGTCTCAGAAACCTTATATAGGGTCCTTATGAGTCAGAATCAATCAAGTCAGTGGCAGTAGGTGGTATGTATGTGTTCTATATCTTTTTTAATACCATCACAAACCTTAAGTGACAGAAAAGAGTAAGCCCTTGGAAAAGGCAGGTATGTAAACCAAACTTGAAAGCTTCCAGGTGCGACTGATGGTAGAGATGTGTGTAAGCTGCAGTGGAATCCTAGAGAAGCAAGTCAGAGAAAGCAAGGTTCTAAATTGGGGTTAAGAGCCTTTAATAGATGTGTTAGTCTGGGTACTTTAGAGAAACAAATCCACAGAAACTCATGTATAAGAGAGAGTTTTATATAAAGGTTAAGAAAACATCCCAACCCAGTACTGCCCAAGCCCACAAATCCAACATTAACCCACTAACCCATATATCCAACACCTCCACAGAGTCCTCCTCCATCTCACAAAGCAGATGCAATGATGCCAACTGCAGGAGGAAAGCTGAGTCAGTGAAAGTGTAAGCATCTCAGCACTGGCAGGGGTCTCCACACGGCTGCTCCAGCACCCAGGGTTGCATCGGGGTAGGTCCATGTGGCTTCTCCACAGGGATGTCTTGCAGGAAGTGAGCCTTGCCAGCTAAAGCAGGGAACTGGCTAAGGCAGCTGCACCCTGGTCCAACGATCAGAAAACAAGAGACCCGAAAACTAGAAAGGCAAGGCTCACCAAGCCATTTATCTCTCCGCCCTTCAATTAACCCCACATGTGTTTATCGGCCAGGTTGGCACAATAAACTAACTCAGTAGACAACCAAGGCAAGGAAGAGCTTCCTAGACAAGGAACAGTGTGTTCAAACAACCTGGGTACCTGTCCCATTTAGGTGGACTGTGATTCTGGAGCAAGACGAGAGGAGGACTGTGAGTGGGGTGGGGGTGGGGGGTGGGGACAAAGGGAAATGTAAACCCAGAGCTGTTACATTGTGGAGCTCACAATCAATGGTACAAAACATGTATAGACTATTGATTGGAAAACCAATCTGTTCAGTAAACTTTCCCCCCTGAATCACCATTAAAAAAAACCCCAAAACATATGACGGCAGATGGATTGGAAGAGGAAGGCATTGCGTGGTGGGGAGCTTACCTGGGAGCCCAGGGAGGCTGCTGGGAGAAGCAGGTAGACGGTGATGTGGCGGCAACAGGCTTCCTGTTCTTACTGAGCTATTACGAAGGATAACCACCCCTCCAGTGAATAGGGTGTTTCAGCGTGTACAGAATGCTCCCACAGCCATTCTTTCATTGGGTTCCCAGTGAGAACCCATGGGGTGGGGTCACTACCTTGCTCTGAAGACAAAGAACCAAGGTCCTTCCATCCAGGAGTTCTGGGTCTCCAGTAGACAGAAATGGGCCTTCTTCCTTGCCATCCTCTCCCACGTGCCATTGTTCTCTGTGGCCACTAGATGGCGACCGTCTATAGGAACTCGATGGCAGGCCCGGCCTGGGTCATTGTCTTGATGGGACAGTAGTACCCCTTTCTCCCCCTCTCCTTTTCCTGGCCCGTGAGCGAGCCTGCTGTGTGCCTGTCTCCATTTAGTTCAGTCCCCACAGCCACGCTGTAAGTGAGGTGGCCACAGATCGCCCCGCTTTAGAAAAGAGGACAATAAGCCCCCGAGCGCCCAGGAACTTGCCACTGGACAGTGGCAACCAGACTTCTCTTTTCCTGCCTGCTCCCTGCCTCTGGCATCGTCCCTGATACAGGTTCCTGTGTGCTTCTGGAGTGCATCAGAGAGACGTGGCTGTGTGTCTGCTTGAAGCCCCGCGGAGCTGTTAAGTGAGGTGACACTCCTCAGCTGGCGCCTAGCGCTTAGTGATGGAGACCAATCATTTCCGTTCCCCGGGGAGAACTGTCACCTTCCCCATGGGTACATCCGAGGGAGCTTCAGAACGTTTGTGGAGAAGTGGAATGAAAGATGGAGTTTGTGACACCCCCAAGTCTAATCGGCGATAGAAAGCTCTGGCCTTTTTGCCCCTTGAGCACGTTGCTCCGTGAACTCTTGCTTTTGCTTCACGTTGACTGGGTCTCTCTCTCCCCTCTGCTGCACAGAGACTGGCAAGGCTCCATTGACAGGTATGTGCCCCCACTCCCACCCCCGGGAGGGCCAGGGCACAGACCCGGCTGCTCCCACGGAGGAAGGAGGGACGTGAGGGAAACAGGCATCATAGCTGGCAGGGCATGGGCTGGAGGATTGGGAAGACCTGGTTTTGACTCTAGGTCCCTGGTCTACTGGTTCCTACAGTGTCTCCTTGAACAAGTCACATATCTGCTCCACACCTCAGTTTAGTTATTCCTTGGTAAAATAAGGGCAGTAGTACTGACCTGGGAGCCCTGGTGGTGCAGTGGTCACAAGTTGGGTTGCTAACCTGAGAGGTCAGCAGTTCAAAACAACCAGCCGCTCTGTGGGAGGAAGGCGAGGCTTTCCACTGCGTGAAGGTCTCCAGTCTCAGAAACCCAGAGGCAGCTCTGCCCTGTCCGGCAGGGTGCCCGCGAATCTACTCGACGGCAGTGAGTTTTCAGGAGGACTGCCCTCACAAGGTGGTTGTAAAGACTGAATGAACACCGTGAGCGGTCCCTAGCACCTAGGACCCTTCTTGAGTTCTGAAGCCCTGCAGAAGTCAAGAAGGACTTCCCCTTGGCGCTGTCTGCCCCCAGTAGGCAGTTTGCCTGTGAGAAGAGTCTGGTGCGGAGGGCTTTTTCTCCCCAGGGGAGTCTGGGCCTGCACCCTCACAGGGACTGCATGTGTTGGGTAAGAGCCAGAGAAACCTTTGAACACGGAAGCACAACTTTTGTCCCCACCCCGGGATCAGGCATAATAGTGATGGAGGGGAGACCCCAGGTCACCTAGGGCAACCCCGGGGCTAAGGGCAGGGCAACACTCCTCCGCTGTGTTTCCTCAGAGAGCCCAGGAGTACCGACAGCGGAGTCTGGTGGAAAAAGAACTGCTCTTCTTTGCTTACGATGCGTTTGGGATCCCCTTCGTTGACCCGGTGAGCCAAGGCGCAGGAGCAGGAGGGCAGGGTGGTGGGTAGGTGAGCCTGGTACCCCGCACTGGGGAGAGAACCATCACAGGGCTGGGGACCAGCGGCATCTTCAAGGAGCGGCAGAAAGATAACAGGAAGATTCGTATCTATGCATCATCAGCATGCTTTTGCTCTAACCCTTTTGCTTAACATGATGTGTGCCTGACCTTAAGTTTCTTTTAAGAAGGGAGATGGTGGATGATGTAAGATATGAAAATAATCATAATCTATAATTTATCAAGGGTTCATGAGGGAGGAAGGGGAGAGAAGGGAGGGGAAAAATGAGAAGCTGATACCAAGGGCTCAAGTAAGAAAGAAAATATTTTGAAAATGATGATGGCAACAGAGGTACAAATATGCTTGACACATGGATGGATATATGGATTGTTATAAGAACTGTAAGAGCCCCAATAAAATGATTTTTAAAAGAAAATTTTAAAAATAGATAACAGTGGAGTTCTGACAGCTGGAAGAGGCTTAGAACCCTCCCACTTCAGCTCCTGAAAGGGGCCGGGGTGGCATGCGAGGTCTCTCCTGTCACGCATGCCTTGTTTATGCACCGAGACCTGGCCGGTGAAGGAGGCTGTACCATTTCTCCTGACCTGCTTTTAGGATTCGTGGACGCCCCAGGAGGTGATGCCCAAGAGACTGCAAGAGAAGCAGAAGTGAGGGCTTGAAGACACTGCATGGTGGACGGTCATGGGGCACCGGCTGGTCCCCGGCCGGGCGGGGTGGGCAGGGGCAGTCTGGGCAGTCGGAACAGGAGCTCAGGGCTGGCCCTGGCTTGCAGACCTGTGCGGCTCTGCCCACAGGTCCGAACGGGAGACGGCCGCCCGCATCTCCCAGGAAATCGGAAACCTGATGAAGGAAATCGAGACCCTGGTGGAAGAGAAGACAAAGGAGTCAGTGGATGTGAGCATGCTGGTTCGGGAAGGTGAGCGGGCGTTTGGGGGTGTCTGTACCAGCGAGGCAGCACCCCTGCAGCTGAAAGCTTCCGGTGGACCTCTCTGTCCTTCCTTACTCACCAAAGGGATGTTCACCTGGCAAAAGCACCCGCCGAGAACTCGCCTTTGGTTGAGGTCTAAGATCCGGTCCATACCAGCCCGAGCTTAGTTCCCGTCTGGAAGTATTGGTACTTCCTGCCCCCCTCCAGAACTGTTCTCTTCCAGCTCCCAGCCTTCTGATAACCAGACTCAAAGCCTCCAGGTCATCTTTGGCTCCTCCTCCTCCTCCTCCTCCTCCCTTGCCTGTCCCTCTGGTCCACTGGGAAGCCCACCAGTGATGGCTCCGCTCCCACCTCACCCCCAAGGCCAGGCCGTTCCCACTGCACGCAGACCATCTCCTGTCTCCTCCTCTCCCACGCCCACCCCTTCCACTCCTGGCTGCCAGCCTCCCTGCCCACCCTTTCACCCATGGGCTACTTTCCCAGCATCCGCTCTTGGCTGCTGCCTGCACCTCGCTCCTGGCCAGCTTTCTGCCGGTGAGTCTGCCCTGCTTCTCCCACTCTCAACGCTCCCTCCCCTCTGCCCACCCCGCCAAGTTTTTCTCACGTCCTGGCCAGTTGGGGTCCCGTCCCTCTTTCTTTTAAAAGTCCAAGGCATCTTGTGGGTCTGGGGTGGTACCTCCTTTCATGTGTGTGGTCCACCCTGGGCTTGGTGTTGGAGAACAGGTACCGGGCATTCCCCTTGCGCCTCCTCCTCGTCCTTCTTGGTGTGCAGCCAGCCTTCCAGTCCCTGGAGGTAGATGCTGGTTCACACACAGACAAGTCGAGTCAGGCTCGGGGACATCAGGTAGTTTGCTGAGCTCGCTCCGGGATGGGAGGGAGGCCCAGCAGTCCTGGCTCACTCTGGAGCTCCAGTTCCAGGACTATCTTTAGGATGTGGGAGGAGCCTGGTGGTGCAGTGGGCTCTGCCCTGGGCTTCGAAACCACAAGGTCAGGGGCGCCAACCTGACGCACCAGCTGCTCCACAGGAAAAGAAACAGGCTGTCCTATCCGCCAGGACTGACAGTCTTGGAAACCCTGAGAAGTGCTGCTCTGCCCGAGGGGGTCGCCAGGATCAGCGTGGACTCAATGACTTTGGCTTTGGGTTATGATGTGAGGCTCAAGAGGCAACAACTGTGAGGTCAGACGGGGGCTGGGAGGATGACTGGGGCCTCTTGTCTTTCCGCTCCAAGGCCCTCCCGGTGGACCAGCCCTCTTTGGCAGTGACCAAGGAGGAGGCTCCGCTGCAGTTTCTCTCCCTTACACAGAGAGGGATCCACTGAGCGCCTCGGGCTGAGCTGTGACCTTTGCTTTGCAGGAGGCTCCCTGCTCTATGAAGGGATCCGCCTCACCATGAACTCCAAGCTCCTGAACGGCTCCCAGCGGGTGGTGATGGATGGAGTCATCTCCGATGACGAGTGTCGCGAGCTGCAGAAGCTGACCAATGTAAGGGACAGGCAGCCCCATGCTCGTCTCATTCCCTCCCGCGGTTAAGGCTTTACCTGCCCCTGGCCTGTCGCTGACCGGCCGGCAGCGGCCCTGGCTCACCTTGCTTTCCCGGCCCGACAGGCCGCAGCCACCGCTGGAGACGGCTACCGGGGCCACACCTCCCCGCACACACCCCACGAGAGGTTCTACGGCATCACCGTCTTCAAAGCACTCAAGGTAGACTGGGTGTCCAGCGTGCTCGGGTGTGCGGAAGAAAGAGGAAGCTGAGGCTCCGAGGAGACGGCCGTTGGGGGCAGTGGCCTAGCAGCGTGCCTGTTACCCTGGAGGGCGGGTGACTTGGGCTGAGTGAGTTCAGCTTTTGGATCCAGACGCCGAGACCAGCTGTAGTAAAACGGGTGTGAGCCGGACAAGACAGATGACAGCTATGCGAGGTTCCAGTTCTTCAGGTCGAGCAGCACGAGGAGAGAGAGAGGGTGATGGGAGTGTAGGGGGGGACACGGAGGTGCGCTCTCTCCACGGGGTGCGTGTGCACCCACATGCTCAGAACTGCACCAGAAGTGGGGTGCAGGGCCTCAATGGTCCCTGTCAGCCCGGAGGGGCCAGTCAGAGGCCTCTGACCGCTGGTCTCCTTGGCAGCTGGGGCAAGAAGGGAAAGTCCCCCTCCAGAGTGCCCACCTGTACTACAATGTGACGGAGAAGGTGAGACAGGTCATGGAGTCCTACTTCCGCCTGGATACACCCCTGTACTTCTCCTACTCCCACCTGGTGTGCCGCACTGCCATAGAAGGTGAGCCACAGTGTCACCACTGCCCTGCCTCTGCACCCTGCTGGGACTAGAGGGGGCAGGAGCCCGCCTGGGGGAGGGGGTCACAAACGGGTGCTGAGTAGCAGCAGGACCCAGGATGGCACAGTCAATCTGCCAGGGTGGCTAGGAGGCTTCCGAGAGGAGGTAAGGGCAGTTTTGCAGGATGCACAGGAGTTTGCAGCATGCGCAGGGGCGGTCAGGAGGACATTTTCACCAGAGGCAGCATTCCCTTAGACCCTGACACATTTTGGAAGCCACTGGCCCCCACCCATGCCAGCAGGAGGGGGGCTGCAGGGTGTCGTAAAGCACTGGAGCACTGAGCCGTGGTTACCCTGGCCCCAGAGGCACAGGCTGAGAGGAAGGACAGCAGCCACGCCGTGCACGTGGACAACTGCATCCTGAACGCTGAGGCCCTGGAGTGCGTCAAAGAGCCCCCTGCCTACACCTTCCGCGACTACAGGTGCCGCTTCCCCAAGGCCCCGGCCCCGCCCCACACATACCCAGGTTGGAACCCAGCCAGGCCCTGGGATAGGAAGCGAGACCAGAAGGGCGTCCTTCTGTGGGGCAGAAGCACCTGGAGAAGGCGTGGCAGATGCTTCAGGGAGGGGAGTGGGGCCCCGGGGAGGGCTGCCCTCTAGAGTCTGGCTGGGGTCACTGCAGGTGAAGGACGGGGTGGGGGCGCTGCAGGCCATGCTGAGGTGCCCTCTGCTCTGCCCAGCGCTATTCTCTACCTAAATGGGGATTTCGACGGAGGACACTTCTACTTCACGGAGCTAGATGCCCAGACCGTGACGGTGAGTACTGCCTCGCCCCCAGCCGCGGAGCCGGCGGCCTGTGTTCTGGGGCTCGCATCAGTGGGCAGAATGGCCGTTTGGCTTCCTGGTGGCCAGCCCTTCTCCCTGAACCAGAGGGGCTTTGAGATGATGAGTCTGTGACTCCTGACTGGTCATCCTTTCTCTTGGGCTCGGGGCATTGGGAAGCTAAGCTGCCTGGACCCTCACGAACTCATATCTCTTCTGAGGATAGTTAATCCATGTCCTATGACAGACAGAGACACACACACACCCCTCTCCTTGCCCATGTAGGCGGAGGTGCAGCCCCAGTGTGGCAGGGCAGTGGGGTTCTCTTCTGGCACGGAGAACCCGCATGGAGTGAAGGCCGTCACCAGGGGGCAACGCTGTGCCATCGCCCTGTGGTTCACCCTGGACCCTCGACACAGTGAGCGGGTGAGTCTGGGGCCATGTGATGTGTTGCAGGAAGGCCCTTCCTGCTCTGCTTAGTGCTTCCCTAAACTCTGCTGCCTGGTGTCCAGAGACTCCTAGCTCCAACTGTGTCCCCTTGGGCCACTGCCTCCTCCCCTATGGGCCTCCTCCTGCCCTTCCTTGTCAGTGCAGGTGGGTTAGGGCCCTGAGATGCAGAACAAGCCTGGCCTCTTGGTCCTTGGCTGGGCCCCACTTCAACCGGCTGCCCAGGGAGTAGGCTCTGCCCCGAGAAGGAGCGGGGCTCAGGGTTAGTCCCATCCCCCAGGACACAGCCACCCAGCAGACAGAGTCCCCGTGGAGAGACCTCCCTGAGCGGGCAGGGCTTTGTGTTTGCAGGACAGAGTGCAGGCTGACGACCTGGTGAAGATGCTCTTTAACCCTGAGGAGATGGACCTCCCCCAGGAGCAGCCCCTGGGAGTCCAGCAGGACCCCCCTCAGCCTGCCAAAGAGCCTCTTTCAGGCAGCAAGTCAGAAGACAAGGATGAGCTATGACAGTGCCCACGTCCTTCATGGGTGTGTGGGAAGACTCGAGGAGAGGTGCTCTGTCCTGCGCCCAGGGCTGGCCAGCCCCTCAGGACCTCAGAACAGCGGGCACTGCTGCCCTGCTCGCTGCCATCTTCAAGGTGCTTCTGCTCTGGGAATGGACGTATCGGGATAGCCCGCCCACCCCCAAGGTACCTGGCTAGGGCTCGGGTCACAGATCCAGAGCCCCCGGGGGCCTGCACAGGCAGCCCCATGACAGTGGTGCTGTAGTCACATGCCGGAGGGAGATAACCCCAAAATAAAGGATCTGCGGGGGTTATTTTCTTTGTGGTTTGTTCTGAGAGCGGCAAGGTGCTCTCTCTGCAGCGGCCCCCCCCCCATAAAAAGTCAGCATGAGGGTGCGACTTAAGGGTGCTGCTGCAGGGCCCAGCCCTGCCAGACCCTAAGCCTTAGGGCTTCATCTGCACAGCGGGGTCACCATCCTTGCTCAACCCTCCTGGGTGAAGGCGGGCACTTGTATGGCCCAGTTTCAGTATTGGAGGTGCCAGCACTTTGGAAGCTGGAAAGCTCTGGATAAGTGGTGGGGATTACCACTAATCCTTTTCAGCAGGGTTTAGAAATATTCCTCGCCACCCCCATCCCCAATCAGCCACATGCTTTTGTTCTGTTGTCTGACCGCTGAACCTCCATGTCCAGACATACATCCCGAGGAAGCCAAAAGGGCTGACTGGGGCTCCTCATCCACGGTGCCTGACCCCCTGCTGTCCTTGAGATGCTTCTGGGAAGTGAGTTCAGGAATCTACGTGCTGGACAGATGTGGCACGTTTACTTTTCAACCAGTATTTCTTTGTTCAACACAAGCTCAGTGCCAGGGGCCAGGCAAACAAAATAATCCCACCCTTGTTAGCTGCCATTGAATTGGTTCCGACTCAAGGCAATCCTGTTCACAACAGAAGGAAAGACTGCCCGGTCCTGAGCCAGCCTCAGAATTGTTATACCGGAAGCTCTTGTTGCGACTGCTTTTTGAGGGTCTTCCTCTTTACACTGACCCTCTACTCTGCTGAGCATGAGGTCCATTTTCACACACTGATCTCTCCTGATAACATCCTAAATACCTGAGACAAAGTCTCACCATCCTCGCTTCTAAAGCGCATCTGGCTGTACTTCTTTCAACACCAATCAGCCCTTTTGAACATACTGTGTGTCAGGCAGGGTTCTCTAGAGAAACAAAACCAGGACATTTATGACTATATATATATGTTGTGTGTGTGTGTGTATATGTTGTTATATTCCTTCTCGCTGTATAAACCTATCCATATGTACAGCGAGAAGGAATATAACAGCTAATTAGTCCACACAGCAGTACAGAGGGCTCAGGCTCAGTTCAACTCACTTTCGTGGGACAGTTTGTATACTGAAGGTTCTTCAACTCACACAGGCTGCAGTCCAAGGTCAAGGAAGCAGACAGTGGAGTCTTCCCTTAGGCAAGACAGGCATAGTCAGGCAGTAGGCAGCAGACAGTAGGGTGGGGCAGCAACAGACAGTAGCATGGAGCAAAGCAAAGTAGGTCCTGATGGGGTCTCGAGCTCTAGGGAGGGACACACTGTGGCACAATCCATCAGCAGTGTGGCAAAGCAGGTCTGGAAGCAGCCTCAAACTCTGGGGATGCACGGCAAGGGAACATGGTCCGTGGGTTGGCTTGACCCACAGGTAGTGCAGCACACAGTTGAGCCAAAGGACTAGCTCAAGAAGCAGCATGCAAGCTGGTGCAATCATCAGGGAGAAAGGATTCCAGCCTCAGAAAGCATTTATTTCAGTCGCCCTCCAATGAAACTTCGACCTGATTCAACTCCACCCACAGGTTCCTATGGAGGCCTAGTTGGCACAATAAACCTGTCTATCACATATGGACTGAGGTACTTTCAATATCCTTCATGTCTGGCACCATTATTCACATGTATCAATTCTTCTGTGGTCCTTCTCATTGTCTAACCTTCATATGCATATGACCAAAAAACAAACTGAAACTCACTACCATGGAGTAGAACTTATTCCTCTCTGACAGGGTAGAATACCCCTGTGAGAATGTGGAGTAGAAAGCCCTGTCTTGTAACCACTGCATGTCAGGCAATGGAAAATACCGTGGCTTGGGTCAGGTGTGCCTTGTCCTTGAAAGTGACATCTTTGTTCTTCAACACTTTAAAGAGGTCTTGTGCAAATTAGCCCAAAGCAACGTGCCATTTGAACCCTTGACAACATGTTGATAGGCAGAGAAAAGACTGAAGTTGTCAAGGAATTTCATTTTGCTTAGATCCACAGTCAGCACTCACAAAGCAGCAGTCGGGAAATCACCCTCCTAAAGCTTTTTATTATGATAGGGCAGACAGAGAGTAAATGTATGTGTGTGTGTGACATACTAAAAAGTGCTACACAGAGTAGAGATAAGAGAGAGTGTGAATACCAGAGAGCAGTTTTTTTTGGGGGGGGCGTGTTCAGTAGTAGAATCCTCCCCCTTCATCCAAGAGACCCAGGTGTGATTCTCAGCTAATGCACCTCAAGTGCAGCTACCACCCACCCATCTGTCAGTGGAGGCTTGTATGTTGTGATCATGCTGAATGGTCTCAGTGGAACTTCTAGACCAAGACAGACTAAGAAGAAAAGTTCGGCAATCTTCCAAAAATCAGCCGATGAAAGCCCTGTAGATTGCCACAGATCCGAGGCTGACAAGTATTGAGGGCGACTCCAGAGCATCTAAGAACCTCAACAAAGACCGCCAACAGGAGCGTTACAGCAGAGCCTGGAGAAGGGAGGCACAGTCCCGCAGACACTGGAGAGAACACATTTGAAGCAGACAATAGGAAAGTAACACGAGGTCCCGAGGTGGGAGTGATGGCAAGAAGGCCAGCGTGGAGGGACCGGGTGGGCAAGGCAGAGCAGCAGATGAAGTCAGGCCCGTGGGCCTTGGCACCCATTGTGAGAAGTTGGGCTTTTACTCTGAATAAGAAAGCAGCCCTTCAAGAGTTTTGAGCCGAGGAGGGAGGGCATCGCTGAGCAACTCACATGAAGATTAGGCTATGAGGGTCAGACCAGAGGCCAGGAGACAGTGTGGAGGCTACTCAAATCCAGGAGGGAGATGAAGACAGTTCTGATCAGGGTGTTGGCAGCCAATGGACATGGAGCCAACAGGAGCTCCTGATGGTGGGAGAAAAAGAAATATCAAGAATGACTCCAGCTTAACGGGCTGGGAAATGCCACCCACCCTTTGATGGGGTGGGGAGGTGTTGGTTGACATCCAATTTAAGTCTGAGAAACCTATTAGGCATCCGCATGGAAGTACTAAACAGTCAGGTATATGAGTCCGATGCTCAGGGAGAGGTCCAGGTAGAAGATGGAACCATGGGATTTCTCTTCAGGATGTAGATGGTGCTGAAAGTCAGATAAAGCCGAGGGCAGAC